ATATTATTCCTAGGGCTTGTTATTAATTGCTTATTATTAGAGGTAGAAAATCTAAGTAACTAATAGCCAGGCCCGAGCTTCTTTTCAGGATATATTTTCCCCAAGAACTAAAGGGTCTCAAGCATCGAGATTGCCGAATTCTGAATATCTCGGACAAGGAGATCAGCCCCATCGGCTTCTCAGCGGTGGACGAAGCTAGCTAATCGGCATTTCTATGCCCTGATTCCGGCACTCGGCAATTTTAGCCGGTGGAATCTGGCATCGCTGATATGGACATCCCATAGATTTCGCATCACATGACGCCGCCGATGAACGATTGCATTAATACATACTCAATACTAGTTAAGAGATCTGCAGCAAGTCTGTATATTCAAGTAACTACATCAATCTTATTATGCCAGATTACACTCACTTCAACCCCGGTCTTGCCCCGGAATGGGTAGAATTCGCAAAGACATGGACACCACCTGTACCCCCAAAAGACCTGGCGGTGACCAAGAGGACTTTCAACAAGAGCCGAGCTGAGCTGTTCCGCAAAGTATTAGGCCCAATACGTAGGTTGACTTCACCAGTATGAGATGTAGTCTCACATATTTCTAGACGGACTGTCAACCAAGGACATTCTCATCCCAACCAGGGACGGACAAGAAATCCCAGGCCGCCTGTACTTCCCTGACGCCCAGGCCGAATCTACTGAATTGAATCCGCTATACATCTTTTGTCATGGCGGTGGAAGTCTTTTTGGAGACATAGAAACAGAAGACATGCACTGCCGTATGTTCTGCGTCAAGGTTCCCTGTAGAGTCCTCAGTGTTGGCTACAGACATACCCCAGAATGGGTGTTCCCTACTCAGCTCCATGACCTTCTTGACTCCATAGATTGGGTCACAGACGCTTCACGGGTACACGAGTTTCGGATTGATCTGAGCAATGTTGTTCTTGGCGGTGTGAGTGCTGGTGGCACCATGTGCTTAGGTGCTGCTGTTGCTGAGATCGAGCAGGTATGTCCATACTCAGTTTCAACTTCATTCTGTTAAGCTGTCTCATATTAACATTTACAGGGAAATCATCGTATAAAGGGCCTCAACATCTCAATTCCGTCAACTGTCCACCCTTCCCGCTTTCCGCGTCACCTAGTCAAGGACGGATACTCATCACTTGAGCAAAACGCAAACTCGCCGCTGCTCTCCACCGCCCGGCTCGACTTCTTGAAGTCCCTCCTCAAGGATGACCCAGAATCCCCATATGTGTCGCCACTACTGTTGCCAGACTCTACGTTGAAACAGTTTCCGAACACGGCGCTCCATGTATGTGGCGCGGACCCCCTGCGAGATTCTGGCTTGCTGTTCGAGGATAGGCTGAGACGACTGGGCGTAAAGACACGCTTGGAGGTCTATAGTGGCTGGCCTCATGCGTTTTGGAACTTGCCTCATTTCAAAATGGCGCAGAATTACCGTGAAAGAATGGTTGAAGATGCAAAGTGGCTGTTCTTTGACAGAGAGCTCTAAGGCCGACTATTGTTCAGCCTGGTTTTGTGTATCAAACGATGAAACTGAATAGACACTTCTGATTGCTATTTAAAGACTTCCAAGTAACTGGCCTACATCATAATATGCACCAATATGTTGACGTTGGCCCACTCTCTAGATTACCCTTGGCCACATCCCTGACTTGCCTAAGCTTCTCATTGAAAGTGGATGTAACTATGTAGACTCGACAGATGGGAAATCAGTGACTTTACCAGCTGCCTGCAATATTACGTAGAGTAGCACGTAGCTTTTGAGAACTGGGTAAAGACCCTATTTTTCTGTTAGCTAGATAACAAAGGCCTCTGTTTTTGGACTAGTGGTCTACCGGTCTGACCTTCGCAGTAGCGGTAAGTGTCCCCCGCTCGGGCCGGGTGGAGGTGATCGGCTTGTTGCTGGTGAAGGCTCGGCAACTAATTCATTCTTTATGTAAACACCAATAACAAAGAATCCAGCCCCAGCTACCAGCTTTAGTGCTAATGCCATCTTGTTAATCGATTCTCACACCAATTTCCACATCAAGAGCGTTTTAGCAATGGCAACCCCAGTTACAAACAGAGCGATCTACATTGGACCTCAAAATGAGTTATTCGCTACAGAGTACGACGCTGTCTATGAACCTGGTAACAACCAAGGCTTGGTCGAGGTGCATTATTCTGGTGTGAATCCTGCCGCTGAAAAGCACGGAATCATTCTTGGATTGAACGATCACGTTTGCGGCTACGAGTTCAGTGGAAAAGTCGTTCAGGCCGGCAACGGGTTTCCTTATGCGGTTGGCGATGAGATCTTCGGCTCAAAGCAGATGAGCCTAGGCTCGGAGTTCGGAGCGCATCAGGATCACCTTCTCGCTGAGGGCAATACACTCATGTCCAAGCGCCCATCTACACTCCCAAAGGAGGCCGCGGCAGTCATGTCACTCGTGGTGAGGACTGCGGCTGATGCATTGTTCAACGTGCTCGGGATCCCACCCCCAAGCAACTCCTATTCAGAAATTTCTCCCGAGAGTGGCATTGTAATCTGGGGAGGCGGCAGTGCAGTAGGATGGTCTGCCGTGCAGCTGGCTGGGGCTGCAGGTCTGAGTCCTATAATCACCACAGCGTCTGCCTCCCACCACCAGGCGCTGAAAGATCTGGGTGCCACGCAATGCTTCGACTATAGAGACGACGGCGTGGTCGATAAGATCCAGGCCGCTATTGATGCTGCAGGCCAGCCACTGAAGTATATCTTGGACGCTGTGTGTACACAGGGACGGGGATCCTCAACATCCAAGTGTGATGTACTCAAGACCGCGCCAGATGCTACCTACACTGGGACTGTGCCAGTACAAAGCAGCAGGAACAAGTGGGTTTGGTGCCTAGGTGCTCGGGCCTGGGAGCTACGACTCCCTCCGCCTGTAGGACATATCCCCGCGGACAAGCAATGGGAGTCACGTTTGGTTGATATCGTATCCTGGGCCGCAGAGAATTACGGCGATGGATTCCGAATCCCGAACATCAGGGTGGTTCAGAGGCCCGAAGAGGGGATCGAAGCAATCAAGGCTTCGGCTGATGGAAAGATCAGCTTTGAGAAGGTTGCAATTAAGCACCCTTTTGAAGTTCTGGATCCTGTTGAATGATATTGTATAGAACCAAAAACCAATACGTTATTATTGTTGACAATCCTGATAACAATGAATTTACTTCCTCAGCCGTATTTTGATGTTTCTTGCGTTGTCTTGACTGCCGATACAGTGACACGGTAGGTCAATACTCTGTTTGTCTCCCAACCAAGTAAGGGTAGTCACGCCGCTTCCATTCGTGGTGTTCATTTGCCACTTTTACTTTCTCTCCTACTGCATTATGCCAAATAACATTCTTATTCCTTGAGTTTCATGCTGGTAACTCCCACTCAAGTTAGAGATTGCCGACGTTGTACCAATTCTGCAGCCTGACCAAGCTGCCAGATAAGTCGTGTCAGGTTACCGACCAAGCTGGGACAGTCCTTACACTCACCCCTGTGATGCTCAGACAGGAGATTCCCAAAGACCATCATAACATCTGGCTGGTCTGTAACTCGAATGGTCAAATTCTGCACGACACCGGTTCCTGGGTGGACACGCGTGATGCAAGGCGTTCCAAACCCCAACATCAGAAGCTGTTGCAACAGTGGCTCGTGCTCGCTGTCCAAGACTATCTCATCAAGATCAGTGGGGATATTCATCATTCGTGCCCTTGACAAGATCGAGTATGACCAGAATATCAAGCTGGCATGGTAGAGAGCAATAACCGTGGACTCGCACAGCGAGCCTTGGTCACTCTGACGTGCCGCCCGCAAGATCTGGCCAGCATGCCACATGGCCTCCTGGCAGGATCTACTCTCGGCCCACTCCCTGAGTCGCGGAAGGACACAAAGTGCTTCGCGCTCACCCTCCTTGCCGCCGAGTAACTGCAGATCCTCGAGAGAAACGTCAAGGTACATGAGCTGCCGCTCGTGAAGAACGAGGAGTGAGGGCTTCATAGGCCCAAGCGCCCTTGTATGGATGATAGCAAAGGATTCCAGTGACTCTCGTGCTTCTTGATAGAGGGCCTGGGTACTGAACGAATGCTTGGCTTGAGCCTTGAGGCGCTCCTTGTATTGCCAAGTGTTCCACCACAAGCCAGAGAGGACCGCCAGAGTCGTGTATCCAGCATCCACAGTGTTTCCCAGGGTTAATATATTTTGGAGGTCTTCAATGCATGTGTGCAATAAGATCTTTGAGGCGGAGCAGCCAAGGCTGGTGTAGGCTTCCCGCCACGCATCAGCAGTGGGCGCATCCCAGAGCTTTCGTGCTGCTGGTAGGCTAGCATGTATTTCGGCGGGCGTCAAGGGGGGTTGTGTGAGGAATGCCATCGAGTACTGGGTGCTGAGTATCAACAGATGCAGCACAAGTCTACAGAAAGTATTAGCGAGCTCCATATACGATAGGGAATATTACCTTTTTCGCAATTCATAGTCAAGCCAAGAATGCCATTTCTCCCTTAAAACCACGTCGCTGTCGCCCGGAAGCGGTGAAGCGCCTCCTGGGTATGCTAGTCGAAAGAAACCTCCCCTCCTCATCATCTAAGAGGGTTTTGTTATCAATGACCTCTCCACGGTCTATGCACAAGCTTACAGTAATCGGCATCCCGAGCATACTTTCGCATATCTCGATGGTTCGGCTATCACCACTCCACAAGCCGCCTTGGACCATAAGCACAAAGCATTTGACTGGTTCAAGCAACCGAGCATTGCGCCCATCGCTGCAAAACTGAAAAGCGGGTTGGTTAGCACCAACTAAGTCAATGAGCTTTAACTTCAAAGTTAGCGTACCAAGCGTGCAATGAGTTGTCGATGAAGCTCGTGTAGACCAAGGGCAAGTCTATGAGATATAGCACTGCCTGATCGGAAGGCACCGGCAATGATTAGGCCGAGGACCAGCTCGCTACAGGCGGTATTGGGGTTGAAGCTGGGGGCATGAAGCCACGAGTCCACCTCCCGGTTATTCCCCGCGAGTTCCGTAGACAGTAGATACTCTAGCACTTTTAGAGGCGGAAAGGATGAGAGAATGCGATGGTGGTCGTCAGAGCCTGCGACAGATAACATCAGGCTAAGAATGCGATACCGGGTAGACTCCTCAAGGCGTATATGCGGCGTGTGCTGTTGAGGGAGAGAAGCACAAGCAGACAGCACTCCGTCGAGAGAAGGGGGGAGATCTGAGGTTCTGGAACCCCAGTGTTCACCTGCCTTTGGCGTCCAGAGCAGGAACGATTTCTTGTAGGCGTCTTCGCCAAGAGAGACACGCTCGTCAGCTCCTGAAGTTACATCCACGTTTGGTAGCGTTGGCGTTAAGGGCTGGCTCTCGATAGCACCAAAGTTAAGGATATCCAAGCTGAACGCATCCCAGGAGCATCCTAGTTCGTCTCCAAGTTCGTTGTGCCCCGCCAAGTCCGAAGAGCCGATATCTGGAAAGAAGCCGGTAGAACAAGGTTGTTGAAACCCAAGAAAGTTAGGACTGAATGGGAGGGTTTCTTCGCTCAGAGAATCTAAAAAGCTAGTCAGCAGTGTTCCAAACTAACACAGACGAGTTTAAGGTCACGGCAGAAGGCACATTGAGTAAGTCGACTGCCAGAATAACCATGATATGAGCCAAAGGGACTACTCAAACTCGCCTTTGTGGAGAGACGTTGGGGTCATGGCCTGATTAACTGGGCTGATGGCGCTTATTGGGCCTTCCATTATTGTGGACGCTGACTGGGAGTCTTGATCCGTCAAGCCTAAGCAACTAACGACATCCATGGCGGCGGGCTGTGCCTTGTCCGTGGAAGAAGCCTTACGATGCGTGCTCGATCCCGAGCGGGACTGTCGAAGGAAATGACAATGCAAACCTCGCTCCTGGCATCTCCTACAAGGTACATGTCCCTCACAACGCAGTTTCGATTTAGCACACGAAAGGCAAGCCTTTACCGCCCGCTGACGGTGGCTTCCTGCAGGTGAGCTGTCGAACTTGTGGATGTTCATGTGTCGTTTTAGAGTATCGCTGTTCCCCGTCGCCAGTCAGTCAGTTAAGCGAATCTACAAGATGAAGTACAGGACAACTGACGGTCTCGTAAATGACCTGGAGCATTGCGGGCAATTAACGGACTTTTGCTCGGTGGTATCTAAGACGAAAATGTCAAATGTTGCTCCCAATCAATCAGCTACCGAACCGGATATCATACGACTACGGAAGTGGCGAGCGAGGTGGTCGATCCTGGAATAGCTACTCTTGCAGATGTCGCAGACAAAGGGATTCGCGGACATCACGGCAGGTAGTGCTTGTTTTTCAGCAGCAGCCGCTTGTGGGTTAGATAGCGAAGGGTGCATTTCAATTGTGTTGGTGGAGACGATCGGGCCAGCTTCAGCGGTGCTCATTCTGACTGGGAGATCTTGATGGTCGGTCGGTAGAGGGAGCTGAGGGTGGTGCTGAGAGAGTATGCTGCGCAAAGAAAGACTTGCTTTCGTCTATCCTCTGGTGCAGAATAGGTCAAATGCGGGGTTTGGGGTAGGACGGTCTCCGTGATACACCGCGGTGTGGGGTAGACGGGGAATCTAAGTGCATATTGCCTGGTAAGGACTATTCCTGCTTGGGGCTGTTATGTAATTTCTTTTTACTTTTCTTTTCAGTTAAAATATTACTTTTAATGAAATATTTACTTAATAAACGCATTTACAGTATTCTAAGAAATATAGATTCTATAAATAGAACGTATAGGTAGGCAGGTTATTATAATTCAAATATATTTAAAACAAGTCTCCACCCCCGCCAGTATCCGACAGCATCCCCCACCGGGTTAGCAGTTTGAGTTTAGACGGCCAAGTCCTCGTGGGGCGTGTAGAGCAGGACATGTTATGCCATAAATACCAATAGTGGAATACCAAGTAACCCTCAGCACGATTTGCTATATATTTACCAGAGCAATATCTAAAAACTGAGTCACACTTCCACTTCTTACTGTATCCCCTTTACTGGTACTTTGTATATATTCCAAGGCCCCATCCAAACAGAATGCCTCCATCGGGTTTTCAACAAAGTGATCCTTACCAGTATTTGACTGGATTCGGAAACTATCAGGAGTATGGCAAATGGCTCACTTTCAACGAATCCTCTGACTAACTGACTCTAGGTCCCAAGCGATAAAGAATACTATTCCTGTCGCGCAGAACTCGCCTCAGAGGCCACCACACGGGCTCTATACTGAGAAGTTATCCGGCACCGCCTTCACCGTTCCCCGTGCCGAAAACCAGCATAGCTGGCTCTATCGCATCCTGCCGACGGCCTCCCATGACCGTTGGAAGGAGTTATCGCAGCCAGCCGTGAAAGATGGTGTCAGCGCATCTCATGAGAATTCAACTCGGACTCACCAAGAGCTGAAATTCACCCCAGACCAACTTCTATTCGAACCCTTCGACATTCAGGATAGCCATGACTGGGTCTCAGGAAGTCGGCACCTTGCAGGCGCCGGCGACCCGATGATGAAGACTGGTATTGCCATCTATGTTTTCACCGCAGGGAAGGATATGCCACCTAAGCAGGCATACTACTCCTCTGATGGCGACCTCCTTATTGTACTCCAGCATGGAGTCATAGATGTGCAGACTGAGCTCGGTAGGCTTCTTATAAGGCCCAACGAGATCTTGGTCATCCCGCGTGGTATCCGATATCTAGTGACCGACCCTTCCTGAAGGCCCCATTCGAGGCTTCTCTCTCGAGCTATTCCAAGGCCACTTCAAGCTCCCCGAGTTAGGAGTCATTGGTTCCAGCGGACTCGCCAATGCTAGGGACTTCCAAATACCTACTGCAAACTACGAGCAGGACACAAGCTCCAGGTGGTCGATTATCAGTCGATTCAACGGCAAGCTGTGGCAACTCCACCAGGATCATAGCCCGTTTGACGTAGTAGCCTGGCACGGCATATACTATCCGTATAAATACGACCTGGGACGATTTAACTCTATCAACAGCGTCAGTTACGACCATATTGATCCAAGCATCTACACTGTCCTCACAGCCCCATCTCCATATCCTGGAGTTGCTGTCGTAGACTTTGCCTTCTTCCCTAAGCGCTGGACCGTCCAGGAGGACACCTTTAGACCACCTTGGTATCACCGCAATACAATGGCAGAGTTCTCAGCAATGATATCTGCATCTGTAGACCTGAGCAGGTCTACGGGGCTTAGACCGGGGGGCGCTCAGCTTCATAACATAATGTCTGGCCACGGCCCCGATGTAGGTGTGTTTGAAAAGGCATCTACCGAAGCGCTAGTACCCCGAAAGGATGGCCACGATGTCCAGGTCTTTATGTTTGAGACGTCGTTGATGCTGGGTACCACCGAGTGGGGGTTGGTAGAGAGCAAAAAGGTGAGGGAGAGTTACCGTGCGGAGAAGTGGCAGCCCCTCAAGGTTAATTTCCAGCCACCCGAGGATGTTTGAAGCACTGGGACATTTGGAATGCTTCAGTGAGGATATATGCGATGGTTTCTGAGAAGAAATGATGTGCTACTATCCCAACACTAATCACATTCTTTAGACAGCTGCTTCAATTGACTTTTCTGTTGCAGTTTTAAAGGACGCCTTGGATTATCTGGATCAAGTTAGATAAGGTGTTTTTTCGGCCAAGAATTGAAGCTTGTTACAGCTGTAGCTGCCGGTTCATGGTGCCAGATATGTAAAGTAAGCAATATATGGCTTGATGGAGTAAACCTCCCAGTTCGCACTTGCAGCTTAGCCCTTGGATGAGGCAGTGAGTGATACGGCCATAGAAGGTAGCAAGACATGCCGTCATGATTGTCACTGTCGACCCCTCGGGCGCTTGGAATAACAGAATGTGGATTAATGTTATCTTGTACCTCTAGCAGAATGGTAGAGACCGATGCTAAATTTGGGATTTGGGGCTCACATGGTACCAACGAACGCCTACAGTACCTCGACAGATCAGGTAGTACACAATGTGAGTCAAAAACATTAACTCTTATTGTCTCTTGAACTCTCAGCCCCAAGTCTCAACTGCAAATAATACATCTCGCTAACAAATTAGACATTACTTATTGAATGTCACCATCTTCCCGAAGCTGATCAGCCACCTCCGCCGCAAGTAGCATGGCATGGACTCCAGCGGGAACACCGCAATAGATCATAGCATGCCTGCAAGCCTCACAAATTTCCTCTTCAGTCAGTCCCTGAACAAAGGCGGCGTTTATATGCGCCTTCAGCTCAGGGCCTCGATTTAGCGCAATGACCATGGCAATGTTCATTAACGCCCGCGATCGGAAATCGAGCCCGGGGCGGTCGTAAGATGAGTAGCAAACTCCCATGACATACTCTTGCACTGTATCGCTGAACAAGCCCGGTTTCTGCAAGAGGAGATAAGTTAGTCTGTAGCTCGATAGGGGTGTATTCGACACAGCGTACCGTTCTTTCCTTCATAACCTTGGTAACCTTGTCACCTAGAAATTCGCGAGCCTTTTGTTGCCCTAGAGTGACCTTTTCAGAAGCTCTCAGATCAGCAGCATCTTCTGAGGAACCCATTATGCCAGAGTTTGAGGTGATTTTTCTATGGACTAATGGTGAGATTTTAGATTTCTTTTTGGCCTGTGACCAAGTTAGGAGAGGAGAGCTTGTCGGCTGAGACTAGCTGACATTCATAAATGTGTGCTATCCGGGAGCCCCCACACGGTAAAACATGAACCGGCGTTACCTGGTGTACTTCGTCGGGAAGAGGAGCCGAGAGCGAAAGTTATGGTGGTGGGGAGCTCGGAAGAGAAATTCTGATCCACCGGAGATTCTATACCTAATCTGTTTAGCCTCGGGACTCATGACCAACTGGCAATATCCTTTCTAGCATTTCGATATATACAGCCGCTTCCCATTCTTAACGTGCTAGTTATACAAATTGAACAAAGCACACAGTAAAGCATACCTTTCCCCTAAAATGCCAACACTTGATAACCGCAAGGTTGGATTCATTGGCCTGGGTGCCATGGGTTACGGGATGGCCCAAAACCTGGCTAGGAAGCTGCTGTCGTCAACATCATTGATGATCTTTGACATCAATCAAGACGCGGTCGAGTCACTAGCTACAGAGTTTCGCGGTTTAGTAACGAAGGGTACATCGTCCCGGGATGTCTTTGCAACTTGTGTAAGGCCATGAACTCCAAGCACATAATTCCATTATACTCACTCTTGACTTTTAGGACATTGTTATCACTATGTTGCCAGAGGGCAAGCATGTCAAGGCCGTGTATACCGGCAAGGAAAGTGGCCTTTCATCGATGAACCTGAAGGACAAGATATTCATCGACTGTTCCACTATCGACGTGGAGACCTGCCTCGCCGTCAAGGACTTTATCACCGACATCGATGGATCTGCATCTTTCTACGACTCACCAGTTAGTGGCGGAGTTGCCGGCGCCAATGAAGGCAAGCTGGCCTTTTTCGTTGGCGGGAGCGAGAGAGATCCAGAGTTCAGTACCGTCGAACAGGTTCTGAGGCTCATGGGAATGCCCGAAAAGATCGTCCCCTGTGGCAAGACATCTGCAGGTCTCGTTGCGAAGCTCTGCCACAATTACCTTGCTGGTGTATTGAATGTTGCAGCAGCCGAGACCATGAACCTTGGTATTCGTGCTGGCATCGACCCCAAGGTGCTATATCGGGTGTTGGTCGCCGGGGCTGCTCGCAATCGTCTAGTCGAGCAGGATAATCCTGTCCCGGGCCTGGCGCCAACGTCTCCGTCTTCCAATGGCTATAAGCCTGGTTTCAGAGCAAGCCTGATGCATAAAGATGTTACTCTGGCCGTAGCGATGGCCGAGGCAGCCGATGCTAGACTCGTACTTGGACAGCAGGCACTGGATACATACACGCAAGCCTTACCAGAATATGGGGACATGGATTTTACAGTTATTTATCGTCTCTTTGCCGATTAGATAGCGACTTATAAAGATATAAAGTAATATTATATATTTTTATTAGTAGATAAGTATAGGAATATATTTAGTATAGAGACCTTATTAACAGCCTGTTTATATGCCTCTCGATCATCTATTAGCTAATCTAGCAGTTTTTTAAATAGTCCCTTGTATTCTTTATTTTTATAGCTTTTATTATTACAGTGAATTTTGACTTAAGGGATAAATATCCCAGTTTCTGAAATCTAAGGTCTTCTTTCAGCTTCGGGTAGTTGTGTATTTCCTCTTTAAATATTTATAGAAGAAGCGTGTTTATTGGTCCACGCATCATGTTAGCCGACGCCCCCGCCGGAAACTGCTCCCCACCTATAGCCGATTGGCTCAATCTCACTGCAGGGCGGTAAGGTATTTAGTTCAAGATTCTAGTTATTTCAGGCCCTAGCCTGGTATCCCGGACTTCTAAGAGATAACTATAGCTACTTTATAGTTTTCAATATCTCTTTATAAAATAGACTATAATAAAAAGGCATTAATATTAATAAATTATTAAGATATTAAAGTTTTCTTAAAAAGAAGTTATTAAGCTTCTAGCTTATAATATTTATAGTATTAAGCTATATATATATTTCTCTTTACTTTATAAGTATTTTATAATTATATTATTTTAATAAATATAATAACAATTAATAGTAAGATTTTAAGAAAGGAGATATTGGATTATATATCACTTCAGGGCCGTTTTATAGAGGATCCGTGAGCAGTGCTGTGTCAGTCGGGTGACCGTAACAAGAGAGGCGGACGGGCCAGTAACGCGGGGGAAGTTATACGTGAGAGATAGAGAGGGCCACAGGCCAGGCGACCTCAACTCCATCATGTAGAATACAGCAAGGAGACGCGAGGCTTTTGAACTACAAGTGGCCCGTCAGAAGGCGTGGCTTTCTGCACAGCAGGGAATCGCAAAGCTGGGTAGCTAATATAACCAATAACGTCGCTTCAACCAAGGTACCTGAGCCTAGGGAGCCCAAGATGTAAGCGCTAGTCCACCCCGGATCTGGACCAGGGCCCTTGGCACATCGGTTTTGTCGCCAGCCTGATCTTGTCTCAAATCACGGCGGCAACCTCGTGAACGAGACTATTCGTGGGGGTGGCTAAAGCCCAGGATGAGACCAGAGGAGGCACTTTATTTACGTGGGATTCAAGGCCCTTTGTTAAGGCCTAACTGTCTGTGAACTAATCAACGGCGGAAAGCCTTTGCTCGGGGCAATGGCTGTATGGTTGGAGCTTTTGAGAAAGGTTGGAGCGATGCCCATAAAAGATCTATACACCATGGTTACGCAAGCCGTATTTGACGGGATTCTTTGTTGGCGTACTTGATTTCCGAAGGGACCTGAGTACGGAGTATCTAAAATGCAAGAGGAGCAGGAGATGGCGCCATGTCCCCCACGATCCTCACAGGCGACAACTATGGTGTTCAGGTAGCCAACAATTATGGTGTCACCGAAGCTCATTTCCATGGTATGTTCAGGAACCTGGCGCTCAAACTGGCACTCTGCTGACCACATTGCCAGCGGAACGAGACGATCAAAGGGAATGCTTTCGGTCCTTGCGCCAGACCGATCCCCGCAGCGACAAGAAACGCATCGAGGAAACGAGAGGCGGCCTATACTCAGCCTCTTGTGCCTGGATTCTGGAGCAATCAGATTTTGTTCGCTGGCGCCATGATGCCGAGAGACGCATGCTATGGATTAAGGGCGATCCCGGCAAGGGCAAGACCAAGCTCCTATGTTCCGTCATCGACGAGCAGGAAAAGGATGCTGAGAAGGGGCAGCGGCCGTGTAACTTCTTCTGCCAAGCGACGGATGCGCGGCTCAGCACTGCCACGAGTGTGTTGCGCGGTCTGTTGTATCTGCTTGCCGAGCAAGACCCATCGCTCCTTGACAAGTACATTCTGGAGAGATACAAACGAGCAGGAAGTATATTATTCACGGAGAAGAACGCCTGGACGACGCTGTCTACCCTCTTTACCGAAATGATGAGCGATTCAAGGTTGGACGGCAAGGTATTCATCATTGACGGGCTTGACGAGTGTGAGGTTGATCGAGCAACGCTGCTGAGATTCATCGTCAACGCTGCCAGGTGGACTCGCACCAAGTGGCTCATATCCAGCCGGAACCGCAGTAATATCGAGAGTGAGTTAGGGAAGATTGGCCCAGAAGTAGGGCTTAGCCTAGAGCTCACCGAAAATGCCGAGCGGATAGCTGATGCTGTCGGCGACTAGATCGATCACTCCACGTCTACTCTCTCGGCTGTGCAGAACAATGAGGCACTCCTCATACTTATCCGAGATACTGTCCGGCGAAGGGCCCAAGGCGCTTTCCTAAGAGCAGCTCTCGTTATTGAAGAGCTTCAAGATGCCCAACCATGGGATGTGGAGGAGATACTGGACAACAGGCCAAAGAAGCTCTATGACCGCATGTTTGAGCAGATTCAAGGTTTGCCAAAGGGCAATCCAGAGAACTGCCGAAAGGTTCTAGCGAGCCTTCTTGTAGCCTATCAGCCTCTTCAGCTGGCAGAGCTGCGAGTCTTCTCTAGCCTCCCTCCAAAGGTCCTTGCCGAAGACTATATTCGAAGACTGGTGGGACAATGCGCATCGTCCCTCACGATCCGCGACCATATTATTTACTTTGTTCACCAGTCAGCCAAAGAGTTCTTGCTCGGCAAAAAACCCTACATGAAGGACCGCCATCACAGCACCAGTTTCTCTTCTCGAGTTCAGTGGACATACTCTGCAAGGCGCTTCGACGCGACATCTACGGCCTCAGACACCCAGGTATATCTGTTGAAGCCGTCTATCCTCCCCAGCCTGACCCATTGGCTCATGCGCGGTATTCCTGCGAGTTCAGGGGGGACCACTTAGGGGATGCTCAGCAATCAGTCACTTGGCCCGTTGCCACTCCCAACAGGAAGATTCAGCATAGTGCTTCTACTAACTCGGTGTCCGCTGCATAAGGTGCCCTGCATATGCTCGGGCTGTTTCCTCAGCTTCAGCGTTCGCGTCAGTGTCGACCATAATAGATATGTTGTGACGCGAGCAAACATTCGTATTGCATTGGAGAAGCCGAAAGTCTCGCTGAAGCCTTTGCGGCACCATGTCTTCTGGATGGAGAAACGGAGACAACAGAGCCCTATATTCTATCAATGGGCTAGGTTCAGTCAGGAGAGTCAGCCACGTCTTTTCTCCAAAAGTGAAACGGCTTATTGAAGGCTTTGGGATATCAGCTCTTGTGGATGGAGAAATAGACAAAATACAACCCCGCATTTCACCAATGGCCCAGGCTCAGCCAACACAATCAGTGATGTCTTTTCTCCAAGAGTATGAGAGAAATGGCCAATTCCGTTCTGAGAAAGAACAAGGTCTACATGAAGTAATTGCTTGGGCGCGCGAGCTTACAGTACAACCGTGGATACGTGTTACGTAGTATGATTAGAGCAAGATGAAGCTTGCGCTCCTGATTAACGAGGTCCGTCAGTGTGAGAACATTCTCCCGACGAAGGTCCAACTCATCAACCGGACTGGGAGCTTGTACGAGTGCGGGAATATGACGATGCCTCTCGAACTGGGGTCGGGGACGTGGAGTGGGATAAGGACTTGGTTTACGATGCACCCCATCATCCTCAACGTAATAGTCGGGATCGTCAGAGACACGTGCCTCAGCGCTATCCTTCAAAGACCCAAGTCGCATTGACCTCCCATGCTCGAGGCACATGGACTTCGAGTGCCATGAACCCAATCATGCGTAACTTTGTAATTGGGGTCGACAACTGCACCAATAAGTCCGCAATGTCGTTCCACTCTCGAGGGACCAATAACTTGGCCATAGCCGCGCGACGAAGGCGGTGAAGTTTTGTATGTTACAGGTAAAGCTTAACAATGCCTAGTAAAAAACAGGCGTCGGTCGTGGTACATCTGGCTCGAAACATGACGGTCCAGGCGTGTTGGGAGTCTGCAGTTGCCACCTCTCAAGGTGGCCAGACGCCACTAGAGGCTCTGGCTCGTCTTTTTCTGACTCCGGTGTATCGTCCAGGACAGGGAAGGTTGGTGTAGGATATAGTATAGACGCGTGTGCTGTTCTTGCGTACATGTGGTGAGATGCTTCTTAAGGTACATACTGTGCAGGGTGTGGCAAGGGAACAACAGCGGTGTGCCGTTGAGCTGAGGCTCATCGTCAACAACCGCTATCATGTCCCCAGACTTGGCCTCGACAGTAGATTCCGTCTAAACGGCTGGTTTAGGAGTAGGCATATACACGTTCTCGGCGATCTTGCCGAGAACAGTCTCCAGGCTCACAATGGCTCTTTCAACGGCTGTTCACTGTGTCTCTTCAGTTTACTGAGCTCGTGACTCCATCTTGGCGAATCGGTCCATCATCTCAGCGAGACGAGGATCATCCACTGTATCCTGAGTAGTGTCCATCTCGACGTCCGGATGGGCTTGGACTGGGGTCTGCGGGCTGCCGAGCTCATCATGGAGATATTGAAGGATGTTGCCAAGGTGGTTATGGATACGCTGGTACTCTGAATCCTCGAAGGCAGACCCTTGGAAGTCACACAGAGACGAGATGAGACTGGCCCACGATTGACCATGCGCCTCTTGAAGCACTTTATGCGAGCCATCTCGATGTTGATGGGCTCACATTCCTTAAAAGTGCGGTCAAGAGGTTTATGGTCTTGGGGCTTGGGGATGGTGGAGGCGCGGGAGGTGTGTGATGGGGCTGTTGTTGTGGTCGCGGCTGAGTCCGGGTCTGGCTTTGAGGCTGAGTTTGGAGTTGTTACTGGACTTGCCGTTGGACATTTCTTTGTACCTGTTGTTGAATCTGTTGCTTGATCGGAATGTGTCGCGTGGTCTGAGATTGATACTCACGTTGACCCTATTCCGATGTCGGCTGGGGCTGTCAATCTGGCTCAAACGCCTCCAAGTCTCTATCTTACGCGATAAAAAGACTCCCTTCGGTATCGTCATCCACCCTAGTAAGATCAATGACCAGTGTCTCACCTCCCTTGAACTCAACCGCCATAAACTCCCTCAGAACACCCTCTGTCCACGCAGTCCTGAACTCACCTGAAGCAGCATCGCAGCGCTCCGGGAGATTTAGACGCGTCACGATGTTCTCTTTGCGTGAAAGTATCTTCTTGCAGGTCACATCCCAGTACTGCTAGCTGATAGTCCAGTGTAAAGAAAGATCATAGCTGCTTTCCCCTTGACGTGACAGCGCACTTGAACATGGAACAATAACTGCATCAGTGAGGCAGGTCAAGAATTTTAGCTCAGCCAAATGAAGCGGATGTGCAGAGAGTCAGATAGAAACTACATGACTGATCAACCATGCATGCATCAGATAAAAGGGACTCTATCTTGTTGAAGACGTGGCTTGGGCAACCACCATGCTCGTTCTTTCGGTGAAGCCTTTGCTTACCTATGCGCAGCGGCTGTCATGAGAGAGATAAGGACATCCATTAGTCATGACTCAAACAAACATTTATCTGCCCTATCACGGTGACGCTTCGCTTTGCTTTGCCATGGCCTGCAACAGAAGAAAACATGCTTGTCACACAGCCGATCTGGGGGCTCAGTCCCATCTTACAGACATTGCAATCGCAGCTGTCAGACACGTACGACGTGGTACCCTAGCCCTATACGATATGATAAACACCGATATCGCGCCCACGCCCAACTTTTCTTCTCGTCAACTTCTCTCTATTTCCTTCACAAATTCATTCATTCACCGATTCAGCCGCAATGGACACGACAAATCTAACAGAGCGAGAAGAACATCTCCTCGAGATGCTTCAAGTAGCTGACACACAGGAGAAGTGGAGAGTGTACCAGTTCAGATCATCGAGACGGTATAGATCATATTTTCGCAGCGACATGTCCACTTCGAGTGTCAAAGACGTAATCCGACTCCCTCAGCTACCGTCGACGCCGGGCAAGATTTCGAGCCAGCAATGGGAACACAAGTTTGCCCAGACTGCCAACGAGGAGATAGTTGATAGGTCTGGTGCCAAACTTCCCTGGTGTCGCCACTGAACCATCCACGCCTATTCCACGCTGTATCCCTCCGCACCCGTCGCTGGGATCACCAGGGTTGTCGTGGCCTCGACCACAGACTCAGACCCTCATCGCGATGACGCCGTTTCCGCGACCTAGCAAGGCAGTGGCCACGAATGTCCCTCGGCTCAGTGAAGACGGTGTTGATATGTCGGGCCTGAAAAGCATTTCCCAGTTCACGCTCGACTGCAATGAACAGATACGCCACTATATGTAAAGTACTGTAGAATGTAAGACTAAGCTCAAGCCCTATCAACTTACGCTTCAGAGCTTGAACATGCTCTTGTTCCTCATGTAGTTGGTTAACCTGTTCTTGGATTGGTTGCATTGTTTCCTCAGGGGTAATTCTGTTCCATCTACAACAGAATTAAATACGTTGCATCCAATTTCGAAAGTTAAATCTTCAATGTTCCTTGTTCTAGGGTATTTTCTTGTCCTGTCCTGCGGCTGGCGAGATTTACATGGTCACACGTACGTTTAGTTAGCATGCTACGCCAATCAATTATCGAACAAAGAACCCTATGTTATCTCCAATTCTCGCATCAAGAACTGGTACCATGTAACTTCCAAAAGCTACTTTATAAATACACCACCTCTTTCCAACTCCTTCTGTCATAACATCCATCATCACATCCTCTTTACCAATAACAGCAACAACACCAGTAACACTAACACCCCTAACAACCCACTAACAACTCACTAACTACTCTCTAACCACTCACCAGCACCTTACTAAGAACTTACTAGCAGCTCACTCAAAGCTCACTCACGACTTACTTAAAACTCACTAACAAGAATGGCAGGGCAAGTAAATGGCAAGGGCAAGTCTAATGGCTATCACTCCGACTCAGAGTCTGAAGCTGATGATCTTTTCTTTACAGGAGTGTGTAGATCCGAACGAGCACGGCAACTTCTCCGTTTTATCGCACACGTTGAACAAGCAGATACTCCAGGACATGCTGAGGTTATCAACAAGTTGAAGGAGAAGAAGGTGGAAGTCGCCTGGATTCATGGGTTGGCGCAGCTCACGCCCGAGAGCCAAACTGAGGAGCAGTGGCTCAAGTCTTGGGACGGGCGTAAGGGTAATGTTACTGCGTGGATCGCTAACAACATCGCTAACTGGAGTGAGACCATGGGAGAAGGAGATAAGAAAAGATTGACAGATGAGGGCAACTTACTTATGAAGGAGTCTTCTAGACTTGCTCTCAAGCAACACGCGGCTGATAACAAGCACCTCCCTACTCATGATGACCCTCCTGCTAAGGCAAGCGATGAGTTGGCACGTGTTTTCGAGATGGTACGTCTTGAAGAAGCTGCTGAGACTTCGACTGATACGGCATCTGATCAAGCGACCGAGGAGAACGATCTTTCACAGGCTGACAAGTTCCTGAGCGTGGCATTATCAAGGGATGCCCGAACAGATCTATGAGGAAACTGAACCCTCACAGAACGTTGCACAGACAGGTAGCCCAGAGGACATTGTCGGCGCTCATGAAAATTTGGAACGCAAGGATAAGCGAACGACTTCTCTAAATCAACAGGATCATGAACTCCCACCAACCACAGAGGTCTTCAAGGCAAATGAACCCCCTCGGCCTGTTACTGAGCTTACTCCAGAGGAAGATCGGGAGATGGAAAGATGTTGGAATAGATTTCGAGATTATCTCGCGCGTCAGGACATGCTAGGGTCTGCTCTCAATCAACAGGATGACCAAGTTTCGCCGCCCTTCAAACGCATAGATTCAGACCCGAAGGTAAATGCGTTTGCTAATTGGGTTGCCCGACGCCATGGACTTCGTGAGCGAGATGAACGCATCGCTCGAGATCGGGGATACGGCATAAAGTGGAAGGGAGAGAAGGCAAGTCTGTTCCCGCTGGATAGGGCAGTTAAACGGGCTGATAGGAAGAAGGCGAGGGCTATGGGGAAGAAAGTTAGGTGGGAGTTGGACGGGGCCAAGTTTGAGTGATACTGTTACTAGGCCGGCTTGGGGATGGGGCCTGTAGATGGGTGAGTCTTGTTTTGCTATGTGTAGAAGATGGTGTTGGGACAGTGGAACTCATGTCTATCTTATCGTGTTCATGCATACATCGATGACTGTGCACATGTTTTTGTGCATGGTCTCGTTGCAACGATCAGGATAGGGACCGACACATGCAGACAAATACGGACATTGGCGCATACCAAGGTATCAAGTAGAACTAGAATGTAAACATGGATTACCCGAAGAACATAAAGACTGGTGTGATGTTATGCAATGACAGATAAGTGAAGGTAAAGGACGACTCGTATAAGAAATGGGTCACAAATAAGGATATAGGCGCGATTGCGCTCAGTACGAGTGTTTGGCATTGCTGGCCATTGAGAACACCGACGTGAGCGCAGGGCAGAACAAGCACGTCTTGATGCAGATGTCCAAGCTCGACATCACCCACGACAGCATGAACGTGTCTATCAGCGGACAGAGAGCGACATGAGGAAGATGGCGACTATAATCGCGACCCTGGCCCCAGAGGCCACGTACAGGTCTAAAATGGCGCTCACGGCCGTTCCGGGCTGGTCAACACCACCAAGAGCGTTGCCGGAGGGTCGAATGTGGTCAACCTAGACTTGATAGGCTTGGAAGCATCCATGAAGATCCACTGCATCGCGAGAGTGGACATGAAGCATTCTCAGATAACGGGCCGTATAGAGGGCTACCGATGCCACTGAAATCATCGCCCTGCCAGCATACTACTGCAGGGGCGTGGGGTGTCGACGCTTGTATCAGAGGTTGTTTACGAAGGAGCCCTCGATCCTAGCGTTGGACACGGGCATAGTTGTTAGGACGGATTCGATGCTGATCTATCTAGAACAAGAACACAAACACGAGCGTGATAATAAACCTACACGGACGCCAAGTTGGCGGTCATGAGCGGCTAGGCCTACACCAGGTGAAGTAGGACAAGTACCCAATACACAAGCGAGAATATCTACGTAAACGAGAATAACAACAATGTCTGCACCAAGAGAATCGTCACAAACAGCATTTCCAAAACGAACGAAGGCAAGAATAAGTCTTAGGCGGCCACCTTAAGCAACAAGGACCTGAACGACGTCAGGATTATAGTGACAACGATGAGCCTGATCGAGGCGCTGAAAGCCAAGGTCTCCAGGTCAATGTCCGAGGACGCAGACCTGAAGGCAAGGACGGAGAGGCCTGAAAACATGGTGAGGGAGTTTATGTCAAGCAAGGCCGAGAACACGTACCTAGAAGGCATCTATTCGGGCCCAAGGCGTCACCCGAGAGCCTGAGCGTGATGAGCACGGCCAAGTCGGTCGTGAACACAACTAGATCCAAGTCTTTAACCATGATCAGCAATAACGACGACAACAACCAAACGATCGTGATCTTGTTCTTATCGACCGCCTCTTACAGTGAACATGGCACTGTGTATGCGTCTCATGCCATGGGATGCTTGCGATGGATAACTGACTGAACATAACATTTAAACCACGCTGAGCTCGCAGTCATGTTCGACGCGGCATGTTCAGTTCACCTTCTTATATATATGCCACGTTGCATACAGAATGGTTCCTGATCTATAGACATTTGTCTTCATCTTCATTACCCAACTCAGAGTCTTAATTCCACAAAACACGAACCCAAGTTTGCAGCATGTATCGTTACTTCATCGCTGTTCTACTCGGTGTTGCAGCCATGGCCTGCGATACCTCCACTAGTACACCCCCTGAAACCGACATCGGCTCCCTAGATGGCCTTCCTACAGACAGCTTCCTCCTCGACCCTATCGGCTCGATCTGTATGGCACACATACGCCTCACATTCATCCAAACCGCGAAGCCCAACGATCCAACAACATGTATCAGCCTCCTCAAACCTCGATGTGAACAAATACCCGTTCAACGAACCCGACAAGCTTTCTGTTCCGACGATGTGCGAGTTCCAGTCTGCCAATATTGCAGCTGAGCTGGCAATCTTCAAGGCCATTGGGACGTTGGACATGGAGAAAGATAAGGAGCTATGGGATGCTAGTATAAATTGCGCGGGCGTTTTGACGGATCTGCGTGCTAGGGATATTTATTTGCGGGAGATTTTGCCCAAGATTGAAAGCGAGGGTATTGATGCATGGGAGAAGACTTGTGATGAGTGGATTATGAAAGCTGTGATAGGAGCTCAGTGACTTCATCTCTGTAAGCTTGTCACTGTTTGTTTGTGCGATGGTTAGTTAGTTTGCAATAGTTCATATAGAGAAAAAAAAATTCGTGCTGTCATTCATTATCTGCCTTGGGCTTGGACGCTTGGTAGTTCCTGGTAGTTCCTATTACAGTGGCAGGTCTTTTCAGCATCTAGGCCGCTAATAGCTCTGGTTGCGTGATACCGAACACATGACTCTAAAGGTTCTGCAAACGTGGAACTCTTGAAGAACTGTTTCACCCGCCTGGCGCGATATTAGCTGTGGTCCCATTTCTACAAGTCCGGTTACTCTATATATATGACAGGCTTAAAAACAGTTTAAGGTCTCACGCTTTCAAAGCCAAGCGTCTGTAATCATTATGTGTATTGGGTGTTATCATCATTTCGTTTCCCTGGCAGATAGACAGGATGAGCGAGAGTGACTCGAGCTTGACCCAAGGTAGTGCTGATTTAATGGCAACAAGAATGCAAAGTTGACTTTGCTTCCAGCAGGACGTTATATCTCATGAGCACTGGCTTTGAGTGCGTACTCTTTGGCTTCCATGGTCTTTATGACTTATAAGCCGCCGTCATCCATAGTAGAAACATGTCCTTGTGCGACTAACACATATCGACTCTAGTGAGACACTGCTCCCGTCTAGCGCAAATGCGTGTGCCATACAACTTGGACACTCCCTAAGGCCTGAGATCATCGGCGCGGCACAAGGCTTAGCGATGATACATGCCAGTGGATTACATGTCGTCTTCGCTTTCCCTCCCTTATTCGGTCTCAGTAGCGGAGTGCCATTACGACATCAAGACCTTGGGCCAGGGTCATCGAAGTATTCTTCACGCGACCGACTATATCCTGACATCAAGGTCAAGGATGCTGGGGATGAAGCGACGAGTCGTTCATCTTGACGCAGTCGGCGGCGGCTGAGGCGATGGTGCGTCTTTGACACGGTCAATAGTGTCCCTCAATTGGTGGTTCGACGAGCACCGCTGCCGTGGAAATCCAGTGTCGTACAGCGACATGAGATCAGCTCGACATGGGACATCCCGAGAGGTCAAATCATCTGTTGAGAAACAACGACATTAGGGCTCACCCATTGGCCAGCCGCGTCATAATCTCCTGGACAACAGCGTTTTTAATGACCTTGAGTGACTCGTCACGAACCCCTCCTTCGTGGACAAAGTCAACAACACCCTCAAGCCTATCAATGTTGTCGCCCAGATCCGCGAACGCGAGGTCACAGGTCTCTGCAAGCTCATCGTTCTTGGAATCAAGGGCCGCAAAACGATCTTCCAAGGCGTCGTATCGCTCTTGGAGATTGACCAGGCTTTGGGCTAGCTCCTTGTTTTGCTCCTTTAGCTTCTGGTTCTCCGTCTCCAAGGCTTCGACTCGACCTTGTACTTGTTTGACATCGACCTGGCTTTGCGCTTCTTTGATAGCGCGGAGTTCACCCCAGAGGAGGCTGATGTCGTCACGTTCGGTATCGGTATTAGTATCTTGGCGAGGGCGTTTCTTACTCGCGGGCTGCTGGATTGGGGGAGGC